CGACGACGCTGCTCCTCCCGCTAAGAGGCAAGCCGTGACCGTCAACGGTGCTCGCTCCCACCCAGACGCTGACTTGCCGTGGAAAGATGACATCGAGGTTCGCCCCCCGATCACCTCCCGCCCTCCTCCCACGCCCACGGCGCACACACCCGCTGACCACTCGAATCTACAGTCGTTCCAGAAAGATGCCATTCTGCGCCAGATGCGCGAGTTCAAGCGCGAGAAGGCTACCGTCGAGTCACAACTGAACGAGCTGGAGGGCCGCTCCAAGTACCACGACGACCACCTCCGCACAATCGACGCTTGGTTTGATCAGGTCAGTATACCCCTGGAAGTTGATTGAGGTGATGCTAATTGCTGCTTAGCTTATCGATGAAATCAAACTCCTGGGCGCCGAGAAACTACCTGCATCATCAGGCGATTCCGATGCCTCGCAGTCGGTACCCGCTGCGCTTCTGTGCGAGGACACCCAGACGTTCAAGAAACACCTCTCGGACCGCAAAGAAAAGATCCTTGCATCCCTTTCCGACCTCTTTGCGAGATATCCTGCAAGCAGTCCCGAGGTTGCGAAACTTCAACAGAAGCTGTCAGAACTCTTGGTCACGGAGAAGGATCACGTTGTGCGATTGCAACGCGTCACCACCGAGAAAGAGCAACTATCTGATCGGTTGGACACGGCTACCCATCGCTACCTAGTCGCTGAGAAGAAGCTCGATCGCTTGAAGAGCGCCCAGGTCCAGAAACTCGAGCAGCAGGCGCACGGCACAAGCGCGCCTGCGAAGGAGGAGGCTCCATCTACCAGCAACGGAACAGAAGCCGTCAATGGCACCTCACCCGGACCGATCAGTGAAGAGTTGGAAACTGCAAAAAACCAGGCCATATCCGAGGCAGCCAAGAGGAAAGAGCAGCTTGAGCAGATCGAGCAGGAAAACAAGAAGCTCACTGAGGAAGTCTCAGCATTGAAGGTCAAGCTTACCGGGCTGTCGGATGATGATTATGCAAAGACCGATCTCTTCAAAGCTATCAAGAACCAGCATGAAGACGTGATCAAGCGAATCAACAATCTCGAAGCCACCAACATTTCCTTGCGGGAAGAAGCGCAAAAGTTCCAAGCGGAGCGAACAGCCTACAGGATCAAGGTGGACGATGAGGTCCGCGCTAGCTTGGCAGACAGTGCAAGCCACGTTTCGCAAGCGGAAGCGAACTGTGCTCGCATTCGAAACGCCCGCGACGAACTAGCCACCAAGAATAACCTCTTGGAGGCCAGCCATAAGGATTCCAAGGATTCTATCGAGCAGGCGAAACAGCTTGCGAGCGCATGCGACAGCCGCATTGCTGCACTCGAATCGGAATGCGAGCGACTGCGACTCCAGATTGCGGAGCAGCAGAGTTCAGGAGATCAAGTAATGTCTGGCTCAGACGACTTGACACCGGAGCAGCTGCGCAGCAAAATCTCCAAACTTGAGAGCCAATGCAAGATTCTGGGCAACGAACTCCCATCCATGGAGTCCGCATGGAAAAAGGCGCAGGCGATCGCGAGCAAGAAGATTACCGAGATTGCTGCGTGGGAAGAGAACATTGCCAAGGCACATGCGGACAAGGCCAAAGCGGATCAAAAGTTCTTCGCAGCCATGAAGACCAAAGGAGAACTCGAACAACAAATCCGCATCCTCCGTGCCCAGGCTACCAAAGCCACGGAAGTAGTGGCGCAACTGAAAGAGGCGGATTCCTTGAGCCGGTCACTGGTCGACAAGCTGGAGAAGCAATGTGCAGAAATGCGATCGCAAATGGACGATCTTTCTACCCAGCACCGCCAGCTGCAACAAAAGGTCAGCGAGAATGCCATCACTTCCGAGGGTCATGTCAGCCAGATAGCGGAGCTCAAGAAGGTCGTCGAGGCCAAGGATGCGACATGTCTCGCGGCCAAGCACGCCCAACGCGAATCGGAAACCGAGCGAGACAAGCTTGCTGCACAAGTGACTGGACTGGAGAAGCAAGTGCAAATCTACAAGAAGAAGAGCACGGCCAACCAAAGCTCTGAAGTGTCGACGATGGAGCTGTTGATCCAGTGTCAGATCTGCAAGAGCAAGCTCAAGAACACGGTCATCAAGACTTGTGGGCACATGTTCTGCGACCAGTGCGTGCAAGATCGACTCACCAACCGCGCGAGGAAGTGCCCGAATTGCGGCAAGGCCTTTGGCAGCAACGATACCATGCGCGTCCATTTGTGAGAGCTCTGCAAACCGGATACCCTTTTCTTATTCCTTGCATTTTGCCACATGTACATCACCAGCTGCATTTCCTTCAGTACCCTTTCTTACCAGTTTACAATAGCGTTGAAGGCGAATTTTGAGGTCATGCACGAAGCAGTGCCTGGGACGTTGGTGTTTTGCGGGTGGCTTTCTGCCAAATTCATGGCGTTGGAGTTCGGCAGCGCAAGAGCGCGAGACAATGTACGATGATAGTTGCGATGCATGTTCAGACGACATGTGTTAGCATGTTTTACTAGATGCACGGAGTTCGTCTCTCGGTCGGCAATGTTTCCGCGGATGGGTTTAGATAAATTCCGTTGGCCCTGCGGAGCTCAGGCCTGGGATGGCCCAGAGAAAGAATGCAAACAAAGATACCATGTCTAATCTGTGTTATATGGTGTGATTCTATAGCCTTTGACTCACACTGGGCTGGTACCTTTGCTCGGTGCACTAGCCAAAGCGTTCATTGCCAGCCAACCATATGCGAGCTGTCATTTCGAACCGAAGGCCGGATCTGGGATTTTTAAGTGGGTGGGCCCGTGAACGTAGGGATGTAAGGCTGAAGGCGCAGGGTATGACGTTCCTCGCCGTTGCCCCACGCGACAGGCTACCATAAACACCCTTGAACAAGACTACTATAACCACGACCGCAATCCGCAACAAGATCCTTTCAGACAGAACCTCTTCAGCACAAACTACAACATCTGCAACTTGCTACACGACCTTAAAACCGTCCACATCTGAAAACTTTTGATCAAGTCTTCCGCCTTTACATCAACCGCAACTACCCTACCGCAATGGCCACCAACGTCCTCACCCCTCGCGACACCAACGCGCAAGTCAAGCCCATGTCTTCCCCAGAGAAGGACGCCGAGAAGAAGGACTCCAAGAGCCTCGATTACCACCGTCAAGTTCTGCAGTCGCGCCTAGACAACGGACAGTGAGTTCATACATGTTCATATACCACTGCGCATCACTAATAATACTCCAGAGAGCAGAAGTTTGTCTCGCCGTCGGACGACATCATGAGCCCCGCGACACAAAAGTTGCAGGCTTTCAAGACCAAGCACGCCATGAAGAAGTAAGTCGCTATCCAACTATATACCAGCGATGAATGGTAGACTAACGCACGTCTAGATCGAAGCCGCAGACGCTGTTTAAGAAGACGAGCGCAAAGAACTTCGAGTCGAACAAGGGCAGCGGCACACTCATGTTCGCCGATATCCCCAAGAAGGACGCGAAGGAGGAAGACGTGTAGACATGGGCTCACAGCCATTCTTGTTTAGCGTGTACAGCATCGGTTTTCTTCTCGGGCGCAATTGTCATCTGTATACCCTATTGCGGCTTGCATGCCTTCGGATGATGGGCTGGTTCTGGAGTTTTGATTACGGATGAATGACTACGAGGCTCATGACTACATATATTGATGAGACGAGACGGGATGAAATGGAACAACGTTATCATGCATTACTATCTTCAGACTAGGTTCTATGCATGTGTAAAGCTGCATGCGCCCAAATGGATACCCCGTCTATCTTGGGAATAGTCGCCGAGGCGCATGTTGTACCCTACTCTAGCCGCATCACCGTTCCCACGCACACGATGACACAACCACCGTCGGAGCAACAAGCCGTCCAAGACGAGATAGCCGATCTCGAAAGACGGCTTCAGGATGCGAAAGCCCGATTGAACCCAAATACCGTCGCAGCGACACCATCGTCGCCCGCAAATGACGCAGGTCCGTTATCGCTCACCCATCCACCCAACTCCCAACCTAACACCCCCCAGCCCTCCACGCGCTCCTCCTCCTCGCCGACTCCGCGCTCCCACTAGGTTCCTTCGCCTTCAGCTCCGGTCTAGAATCCTATCTCGCGCACCACAAGCCGTCGCCGCCATCAGCGTCACAGTTACCCGCGTTCCACACCTTCCTCCGCTTATCGCTCTCAACACTCGCAAGCACATCGCTGCCCTACGTGCTAGCCGGGTACCGCACGCCGCAAGCCATCGAGACATTGGACAATGACTTTGACGCGAGTACACCGTGTACCGTTGCGCGACGGGCGAGCATAGCACAGGGCCGCGCGTTGCTGGCGGTTTGGGATCGCAGTTTTAGGGCGCAGTATAACGGGCCTAAGGCGACGGCGTTGGAGTATGCTGAGAACGGGGGGGTGGGTAGTGAAGTAGCGATTAAAGCGCTCACGGCCTTTTCTGCTGCACTGCGCACTTCAGAGCATATCAACGTGCACCTCGCGCCGCTGTGGGGTCTTGTCACGAGTATCCTGGCTGTTCCGCTGCAACAGGCTGCGTACTTGTTCCTCTTTTCACATGCACGCACTGTGGTTAGTGCGGCTGTGAGAGCGAGCGTTATGGGACCGTATCAGGCGCAGGCGGTCCTTGCGAGCGCCGAGTTGCAGGATAGGATTAGGGGACTGGTCGATGAGGGGTGGGATAGGACGGTGGAGGATGCGGGGCAGAGTGTGCCGGTTATGGATCTTTGGGTTGGGAGACATGAGAAGTTGTATTCGAGGATCTTTAACTCATGAATGACTGATCTGAAAAGCAATGTGGATGGGCTAGCGATGCATGGAACCGGACAGATGCGGGTGCTACCTCAAGCTTCCGTGGCTGGCAGGTTTCCTACCTTCCGGCTGTGACCGATGCATCAAGCCTTTGCATCCGTAGGTTACTAAATCTACGAGGTTGATGGTGTTCAGACAAACTTCAGTTCCAGCCACTCGTTGTCCAATCATGACCTCGTGGGCTCTCGATTCGCGCATGAAGAGCTCGGCTTACGGCGCGTGACTACAGTGCCTCATCGGCGCGGCAAGGCAACGATGATAAGAAAGTTATCTTGACATGTTTGCTGTTTCACAGGAGCACAACTTGCTGGTTGGTGATGCCCTTGGAGGGACTTTCATGCTTACTTGACTCCACTTTACATTCGCAGTGCTGGCACCATGTTCCTTTCGATCCTCACCAACTGGCTCACAGCCACCACCTTCTCTAATCCCTCCAGCAACGCACTCCAATCGCCTCTCTTTGATCCCGCTAACAAGTTCCCGTGGATCCAACGCTTCGCCTCAATCGGCGACTCCTACGCCGCGGGCCTAGGATCCGGCACACGTCTCGACTGGTCATGCTCCCGCTACACCTCCTCCTACCCCAACATCCTACAAACCACACTCCTCGGGCCCAACCCAAACCGCACCCACCAGTTCCTCGCCTGTTCCGGATCTACCAGCACGGAGATCTTGGAAACCCAGATCCCGGCTTTACAAGATAACCTCGACCTCCTCACCATCTCCGCCGGCGGCAACGACATCGGCCTAACACCCATACTAAGCAACTGCATCTACCAATTCTATCTATCAGGCGAGGATGCGTGCCAGACGGCTATCAATGAAGCACGAGCTCGGATAGCAAATGAAACAGAACTCTACCACAACGTGACCCTCCTCCTCAACGCCGCGAAACCAAAGATGAACCAAGACCACGGTGTGATATACTACACAGGCTACGCATCCTTCTTCGGCGCCTCAGACTCCACCTGCGACAACGTCACCTGGGCCGTCTGGAAAGACGTCGAATGGACAAAACAATACCTCACGCGCGCCCTACGCCAGGAGCTGAACGACATGGTCCGCGCCGTCAACGCCATCTTATTCAAAGCCGTTAGCGACTCTGGTCCAAACGTCCGTTTCATAGATTACGACGCGGAGGTTACTGAGGCACGGGGTCGCTACTGCGAACCCCGTGTCCTAGAACCATCTCCTAATCGCGCCGGCCTCGTCTTCTACGAATGGAACACCGTGGATACGGGGGAGAATAGAACGGCGCTGCAGAATAGGACGGGCGGTGATGTACCGAAGGGGTCGTTTGAGGCGGGGATTGCGAGGGATGTTGGTAGGACGGTGGAGGAACATCCGGGGTGGGAGGTTGATCCTAAGAAGGGGTTTGTGGATAAGGGGAAGGGGGTGGGGGTTGAAGGGGGATTGGGTGATGGGATTCATTGGTTGTTGCCGGATAGCTATAAGAGGGTTTTTCATTTGAGGCCGGGGGGACATGGGATTGTGGCGGGGATGGTGGTGGAGAGTTTGGAGAGGGAGGTGAGGTGGAGGGGTGGTGAGGTGGAGGACCTTTAGGTTTGTTCTACTTCTTGGATGACAGTATTAGTGGTATCCACGTCTTCTCCTTCGACTTCTCTCCCTTCGTCGCCATCCGCATCGCCATCTAACTCACCATTCCAATCCCAGTCCACAACCTCCCCCTCCTCCCTCACCCTCCTATCCATCTCCCCAATCCTCCCCCTAACATCCCCCAAACACTTTCCCAACAAATTCTCCCCCCACCACTCCCTATACCCCTCCGCCTCAAACGCCCTATACCCAATGCCCCACACTCTATCCCTGCGTCCCGCCTCCGCAAGTTCCCTCTCTCCCGTCCCCAGCAAAACACTCCTCATATGTCTATTCCCGTTCCCGGGCCCCGTGAATTTATACCAGTTCCCCACCCGCGCAACCCGGCTTTTCACTACGGTCCAGGCGGTGAACGAGAAATTGGTGATGCGCTGACCGTGTTTCTTTTGCGTCTTTGGGTCTGGGGTCGAGAGGATTAAGGCGCAGGTGGGGAAGTCGGAGAAGAAAAGGGACTTGCAGTACATGTAGGATTGTTCGGCGCAGGTGAAGGATAGGAACGGGATTGGGTTGCCGGGGGAGGTGGAGGCGTGGGTTGATAGGATTGAGGATGCTGAGGTGGTTGTCGAGGATGGGGTAGAAGGGGGTGGCGGTGGTGGTGGTGCGAGATCAACGAGCCATTGGAGTGATGCGATGGGGATGCTGAAGGGGCTGGGGTGCCATTGGCAGAATATGCCGTAGGGCTTTTCGTTTGGCATGTAGAAGAATATTGTTCCTTTCTCTTCGTCTTCTTCGGTGGGTGCGGGTTTCTTTGGTGGACGGCCCGAGGGGTGTGGTTTGCGCTTTCCCATTGCGTAGTATAAGTGTGGGCTGAGTCGTGAGACCTTGTGAGACGAGTGGATGTGATGGAAACAAGAAAGAGCGCTCCTTCGGAAAGTCTGGATTATTCGGAACTCCCGAGGTCGTCAGGTGCTTGGTGATGAGTCGTAAGCTAGTACTGTAGTACCATGGTTTGCAAAGGGCGTAAGGGCGACATATCTAGTTTACCAATTTCTAGTAAAGCTTTCTAATGCAAATGCTACGGCTGCTGACTGTGTACCCTTCTCAGGTTCTTGTAGCGTCGAACATATCGGGTCACTACTTTCTCACGTAACTATCAAGACAGGGGGAACAGGCTAGTCTGGTCAGTCTCAGTATATACATCTCTGAGTGTGTGTACTCGGGGAGTTTGCACAGTGATTGAATGGTGTCTCCGCGACAGTAGTTTAGAATGAGAGTTGGTCCTGCCCAGTGAATGGAGCTCATGGCCTGGATGCCTCGTGTGAACAAATGAAAGTAAACAGAATGGTAAGTCCATCATGAATCACGGGTCTAGCAAAGTCATTCGTGCTTCATGGGTACGAATGCAAGGGTTTGAAAACAAATTAATGAGACCATGTCGAAGTTTGGGGCGCGCATCGATGGAGCAGATGAGTGAGTTCGTGGGAGCTGAAGTCTGGCAAGTTGAAGCGATCACACTAGTACAGAAGCGACCTAGCTCCGAATAAATCCCACCCCCACCCGTGACTTCCACATCCAGAGTCTGAGTCCTCAAGATTCGCCATCTGTAAACCGCAAACACCAAACAATAAAATCTGCCCACCATGGCGACTATGACGGTGACAGAGACGCAGCATAAGAGGAGGCTACCAAAGAATGTCAAATTGCCACCCGAGAATGAACGTTACATGCGTGCGTGCGCAGACATCGCCTCAGCGCTCATTCAGGACTATGAATCCCAGGCCGACGGTTCAAAACCTAAGAAGGATCTGAACCTGAACTCGCTACGAGGTCAGATCGCGAAGAAGCACTACCTTAAGAGCCAGCCTCCGCTCACGGCGATTATCGCGGCTGTGCCTGAGCACTACAAGAAATATATCCTCCCGAAGCTCATCGCCAAGCCGATCCGTACGTTGCCCTCAACGATATTGCATAAGTATTGTGAGACTGATGTGCTTTGTAGGTACATCATCTGGTATTGCAGTAGTGGCGGTCATGTGCAAACCTCACCGGTGCCCACACATTGCCTACACTGGTAATATCTGTGTATACTGTCCAGGAGGTCCAGACTCCGACTTTGAGTACTCAACACAGTCCTACACAGGTTACGAGCCAACATCTATGCGCGCTATTCGAGCGCGATATGATCCTTACGAGCAGGCTCGTGGACGAGTCGACCAGATTAAGTCGCTCGGTCACAGTGTCGACAAAGTCGAGTACATCATTATGGGTGGCACATTCATGTCACTACCAGAGTCATATCGGGACGAGTTCATCTCACAACTACACAACGCGCTTTCGGGATATCAAACCAAAGACGTTGACGAGGCTGTTGCCGCCGGTGAGATGAGTAACATAAAGTGCGTGGGTATCACCATCGAAACACGACCAGATTACTGTTTGGATCAACATCTTTCCTCCATGTTGCGGTACGGATGCACACGTCTCGAGATCGGTGTACAGTCCCTTTACGAAGATGTAGCGCGCGACACGAACCGAGGCCACACTGTCGCAGCCGTAGCGAAAACCTTCTGTCTTTCCAAGGACGCCGGATTCAAGGTGGTTTCGCACATGATGCCTGACCTGCCTAACGTTGGTATGGAGCGCGATCTCGATCAATTCGTAGAGTACTTCTCGAACCCAGATTTCCGCACCGATGGACTCAAAATCTATCCTACACTTGTCATCCGCGGCACAGGACTGTACGAACTCTGGCGGACAGGAAGATACAAGAACTACACCCCAAACGCTCTCATCGATATCGTTGCCCGCATCTTGGCCCTAGTACCGCCGTGGACGCGTATCTACCGCGTGCAGCGCGATATCCCCATGCCGCTTGTCACATCCGGTGTTGAGAATGGTAACTTGCGGGAGTTGGCGCTGGCAAGGATGAAGGACTTTGGTACCTCGTGTCGCGATGTGCGAACACGTGAGGTCGGCATCAACGAAGTGAAGCATAAGATCCGGCCCGACCAGGTTGAGTTGGTACGTCGGGACTACACAGCTAACGGCGGTTGGGAAACATTCCTTGCGTACGAAGACCCAAAACAGGACATCTTGATCGCCCTGCTTCGTCTACGACAATGTTCGAAAGAACACACTTTCCGGCCAGAGTTGACTGGCCAGCCCTCTTCGCTGGTACGCGAACTGCACGTCTACGGGTCTGCTGTTCCTATACATGCTAGAGACCCAAAGAGATTCCAGCATCAAGGTTATGGTACGCTTTTGATGGAGGAGGCAGAGCGGATAGCCAAGGAAGAGCATGGAAGCAGTAAGATCAGTGTTATCTCTGGTGTTGGTGTGCGGAGTTACTACGGCAAACTGGGTTACTGGCTTGACGGCCCGTACATGAGCAAGACGCTCGAGCCGCTGTGGGAGAGGGACTGGTAGATGGGAACGTCGTGGCTGGCGCTTTTTGGCGTTCGTGCATGGATCGGACCTAATGCTTCACTTGACAGATATGCAGGGCTCATGCACATGTACAGATAGCATATATTACGCTAATCCAATGTCTTGCTACGGAAATGTATGAACCCGCCTGTGCCCGCTGAACGCCGTGTCTCATATTACAATGTACAAGTGCCCCCTTGCCTCCCCTCCACAGGCGCAATGACGCGTGCCTGTCCTAATGCTTCATCGTCGCATTCAAAGATTCTTTAGATGATACCGCGTCTTATCTTACCCCTCGGTCGTGTTTCGCATTCTGTTCAGGATTATGACAGGCTTATCGCGCCGCGACGGCTTTCGCGCATGTGGAGGAAGGCCTGCAGGCCACAGAAGACAAAGAAGCCCTGGAAAGACGTTAGCAAACTGCGATGTTCTCTCCCCCATTTCAACGTACAATGTATATGAAGACAGCACCGAACACAGCGCCGGCAACTGCGCCACCATCCTCGGGGTCTTCATGTCCTCCCATAACGGTGCCGCTGTGTCCCTGCGAGTTGCGTGTTAGCATTAGTTCCGCTTTACAGTTCTCATAACCAGTCGCGATAGTGAGTTCGAAGGTATTCGTCCTTGTCGGAACCATGGGCGCGAGGCAGACGTACTTTGAACAGAGCTCCGATCGTGGAGAGAATGACGATGGCAAAGAGCGACACGACGATGCTAGCACTCCGTTAGCTTCCTTGCTGTTCCTTCTTCGCCGGGATTTTTCGTGCATACCACGTCCATGCATTCATCGCGGAAACAACGGGCTTCACCATGATGGGCGACTTGGAGCTTCGGTATCGCGCGGCGGCGGGTAGCTTATCGGCGGCGGTGGCGGCGCTTCGATCGTGATACCGTTAGGTAGTTCGCTACCTGTATTGGCGATGGAGAGGATATTGTAGGAGGAGATGGGGTTTGGAGGTGGTCGACGTCGATGGTTGCGGTTGGATGAGGTGCCTGAGCCTGGAATCGTCATGTCTTGCGACGCCTGCCGATGCGCGTGGGTCCGTGCACCGCATCTGATGCAGGTGAACCGGGAACTTCCCGAACATCGACATTCATTCCATTCCCCATCGACGCCGCAGAACCCTCATAGAACGGCTCGCCATCACAATTCGCGCTACCTTCGAAGCTGAATACAGATATCATGTCTCACTAGGCTGGACGACATAATTTCTTGTACCATCATCACGACAACGGAAGACGGCAATGGACTAGAAACCTGGCTTCACCACATTGAACGACTCCCATCAGCTCGTGGACCCCATCCACACCGACATACATAAGCTCCTCATCTATTGTCCTGAGAGCTCAAGATGGATAGTAGCGTTGATGCCTTCCGCTTCCTCGACCTTCCCAAAGACATCCGGTTATTAGTATACGATTACTTGCAGCCCGAGAGTCACTTGGTATCAATCTTTGGAGACCACCGTTGCCTCTGGTATACCAAATTAAGGCCTTCCACAGCACTATTATTAGTCAACCGCCTTCTGTGCGACGAGATCAGAGCCTACTTCGGCAACGGCTTCCCGGGGCAACCTATCACGCTTGTCGCCGTGGAGGGACATGGCACGTTTGCACTGCGCTTTCTAGAAGCTCTCACCTCGGGTCATCACTTGGATACGCTGTCCAAAGA